GAGTCATGGTTCTCAGGCCCCCAGTCCATCAACAAGCGCACCGATTTGGCGTGCCCATACTGCGTACTGAGACATGGCCTGAGCAAGAGGATCAGTCACGTGGGAAGAGCCGGGCCCAGTAACAACTCTGACGACAGCGACTATAATTGTCGCGCAATTACCTAGCCCGCATCCGACACGGACAAGGAATTTGCGGCAATTAATGCGTCGAACGCGAAGTGTCAAGCCATCACTGCACCGATGAAGACCCAAGCGGTGGCTACAGGAGCCGACACTTATAGTACACCCGCGGATGACCGCTACGACCTATAAATACCGTGCAATCTGTGCATGTTTCACCCCTATCTGTGCATGGCTCAGACTATCCTACGATTACCCATGATTAAGGATTCCCTGCAGAATCCGAAACGTCAGGAAGATAAAACTCTTGTTCCAGTGATCGCATCCTCTACTTCTGAACTGCTTCCTGGAACTCGCATATTCACTTCTATTGGCAATTTAACGAGTGTCAAAATATCTACACCGGCAAGGCAACGATCTTTTAGCTCAATGTTTAGTGCGTCAGACCTCTGACCAGAAAAGTCGCGAGTTCGAGCCTCGGTTGGGCTTCGATATGACTGGCTGACGGCGGCTAATGAGCCAGAAATGGCCATTCCATTCTCCCTTGTCCGTACCGACAATGCTATTAACCTCTACTAACCTCTGTGCGGCTGCTAGCGAGGGGCTCGAGAATGAGCTCTAAGATAGAGTGGGAAGAGTGAGTTCGGTTGGCAATCGGTGAACGTTAATAAACGGTAGAATTTAATCTCGTCAAACTGCCCCTCCCCCAGTTTCCACAGTTTTCCCTCCTTCCTCGTGTAGGTTCTGTCAGCCCCTGCTGATTGGTGGAAGAACTCGGGAGGCAATGTCTGTTCTCCACGACGAAGTGGAAATTGAGGACATGGAGTATGACGAAGATGAGGAGACCTACTTCTATCCATGTCCGTGTGGTGACAAATTCCAGATTACGAAGGTAGGCTTAGTTGTTGCTATCGACCGTCTTAGGCAAGTCTTTCGTATAGGAGGAGCTGGAAAACGGAGAAGATATTGCACGCTGTCCCAGTTGTTCGTTGATGATCCGAGTTATTTACGACTTGGTTAGTTGTTACTTCAAATGCCCCAATATTTTCAGGACACTTTTTTGAACAAGGAGTCTGTTAGTGAGAAAGCAATATGTGCTTAGAGGAAGTACTAAGCGGTTCCACGGGCTTTTCCCTTCTCGTCAATGCCTTACACCCTACAATTCCTTCTTGTACAAATAAATTTATCGAAAGCTCATTTTCCTTTTAGTGTTTTTGTTCCTGTTTGCACAAGATAGTCTCCCTTCTTTCTAACTGATATGACGAATGTCAGTTTAGGGCAGAGGTCTGGCTGGCATTAGCAGAACAAAAAAAACTTGACTGGGCGGCCACGTGCATAAATGTTTGCAAAGTGCGTAGCGGCACGCTTTTAATTGTCAATGTGACCCGCAGACAGTCGTTTCTTTGCATATGGAGTGGAACCGACAGAGACAAGGGAGACCGAAATGGCCGTTTTTGGCTTATTAGTCATCATCAGCCAGTCATACCCGATTCCAGGTGTGGATCGCCCGGGATCTTTGGCCATTGAGTGAATCGCTACCATTGCACCACGGGCTCGTAACTTTTTCGATTGCAATCGGGAATATACGCTGGAAGTAGGCTGTCCACCGACCTATCTGATTAGGGAAAGTGCTTGTCCCGTTGTGCCTTGAGGTTCGTTTTAGAGCGATCGCAGGCAGTCGCTTAGCGACTTCAGACGTATGATGGGATGCAACTGACAAAGACAAGGGAGCCCTGAATGACCGTTTTCGGCTTATTAGACATCATCAGCCATTCCATCCTTTCGTCATAGTCACCATGCGAGGGCTCTAATTGTGAGCCCCTGGGCCAAGCGGAACTTAATTGTTCCTCTTCTAGATCGGCGAAGCACATATATTCATATGTGTGTATGTTGGAGTGGAATGCGTTCTTCGGGAAATATAATTTATTACTTGGAATGCGTACCTTGCAACATATATATATTAAAATGACTGAAGATTCGAGGTCCACATAAATTATCCCGTTTCCCATCCCCCAAAGAAAATGAAGAAGAAAAGGCGCCTTCAT